ATTTTTTTCCTGGAAAGGATAATATTCCCAGAGTAGCAGAAGTGCGCACTACCCAGGGAACTTATTCTCGTCCTCTGGTCAAACTTTGTATGCTACCAATTGAATAGGTAGTAGCAAGGTAATAGTACATTTTAATTATTAATTATTAGTGTAGGATTGGTAATTCCATATCACCTTTGTTCACCTAGTTTACCGTTTACCTAATCGATAGTACCTTTGTTAGTTTTAATCAAGTACCAGTGTGTTGATTGGTACCAGTCCAGTTGTTAAAAATTGTTATGTCAGAGTAATTGACGAATAAAGTAAGTCTGTCATGAATGTGCTAGAACTGTGTTGTTTCATTCACCCCTAGACAACTACAAAACCCTACATTTTGGGGGCTCAACCGGGATAGAAGGAGCATAAATTACGACGATAGTGATCAATAAAGCTCGATAAAACCGAAGTAGTGAATCAAGCATTGATGGTTGCTTGTAAATGATGTCAGCCTGGATGTTCCTATTGCTGCTATAACGACGAAACGACGTGGAAGAAGTGCTGCAATATTGGGCGTGACATATAGTCCTGTGAGAGTGCTTTTCACTAAGGTATTGTATCAAACATTGATTCTAAGGTGCGAGACATTTGTCAAAATTTTTTTTTGTGACATTGATTAATCAGTCAGACTTCAGTGCGTTGGTAGTAAATATAAACCTCGATATAAACTATTTATTGCCAGCTCTAAAAGTACTTTACTCAGTGAAAAATTTTACTTTCAACACAGATTCCTAATTTTTTTTTTAACGAAATTTAAAAAAAATGGCAACTTTGAAATTTAGTTTGAGTGAAATAGGTAATGTTGACTATAATATAACACATGCAAAATTGAGAGTTATCAAGGTTTTGCACTATATTTGTTTTGCTTTTAACGGAGAGCAGAGAAAGAGGCGAAAGGCTTTGCGCGCGTTTTCTGGATATGATTTTGTCAATCAATCTCCTGAATATTTTGCAAAAGTTGAGGATGTTTCTAAGAATTTTAAGCTTTCTGATTTAACCAGAGTCTGTCAATTATTAGGGCTAAATTTTACAAACGAAAAAGATGTAGTTTGTAGGATTTGTTCATTTTTGACAACCTTTTCCTATCCAAACGACGTTGTTGAAGGAGACGAAGAGGAGACGGATGAATCAGACGACGATAGCTCAGATTTTGAGAATGAAGACGAAAGACGTGATGATGAAAGACGTGAAGACGAAAGATGTGAGGACAAAAGACGTGATGACGAAAGACGTGAAGACGAAAGACGTGAAGACGAAAAGCGTGAAGACGAAAGACGTGAAGATGGAAGACGTGAACGCGAAAGACGTGAAGATGAAGGATGTGCAAAAGAAAGACGGAAGAAAGTAGAAAAAATTAACTATGAGAAAAAACAGAAAGACGAAGAGAAGAAGCGCAGATTTGAAGAAAGACGAAAAGATGAAGAAGATAAATGTGCGTATGAAGAAAGACGAAAAGACGGAGAAGATAGACGTGCATATGAAGAAAGACGACAAGACGAAGAAGATAGACGTGCATATGAAGAAAGACGAAAAAACAAAAAAGATAGACGTGCATATGAAGAAAGACGAAAAAACAAAAAAGATAGATATACCTATGCAGAGAGACGAGAAGACGAAAAAGATAAACGAGAATGCGTCACACGACACAGAAATGAAGACAGACAGAAAAGTGAAGATGACAACTGCAACTATGAAAGACGAAGAATTGAGAAAACAGGAAACTACGATGAAATACTCAGAGAAGAAGAAGATATTGAACTAAATGAAAGACGAAAATATGATTATTGGCGTAAAGAGGAAATTGCACCAAGATACGACCATAGGCGAGAACAAGAATTCAGGCGATGGCAAGATGAAGAAAGATCGCGACGAGAAGACGACGATGGAGGTTATCGCTATTTGGATACGATGTTCAATAAAAAACAAGACTCATTTGCATTAAGTTTTCGAGATGTGGAAGATAGCATTAGGTCTTTCGATGGGAAAGATGAATATCCTATCCAGACGTGGATTATTGAATTCGAAGAAGTAGCAGAAGTCACTGGGTGGAACGAACTCCAGAAGTTAATTTACGCGAAGAAATGTCTGAAAGGCCTTGCAAAACTTTTCATACAATCTGAAAAAGGAATACGAAATTGGTCAACTCTAAAACAAAAACTCATTGAAGAATTTGGAGTTAGCGTCAACAGTGCGCAAATACATAAAATGCTATCAACAAGAAGAAAAAAATATGATGAAACTGTGCAAGAGTATATGATTAAGATGAAAGAAATGGCAAGTCGCGCGTACATAGAGCCTGAGGTGGTCATAGAATATATAATTGACGGAATTCAAGACGATTCGTCAAATAAGATGGTGTTGTATGGAGCTAAAAATTTTACTGATCTGAAAGAAAAAATTAAGCTGTATGAACAAATTCAGAGGAAGTCCAATGTACACGAACAACCTTGTAAAATGAAGAAAGAGTATTTTAAAAAGAATGAAGATAGTACAGTTAGAAAAATGAATTATGATGTCGGAGAAGAAAAAAAAATCACTTGTTTCAATTGTGGAAGTCAGGGTCATAGATCGAATGCTTGTCCTGATAAGTCAAAGGGAACGAAGTGTTTCAGATGCAATAATTATGGTCATGTTTCCAGAAAATGTTCAAATAGAAATCTAGAAAATAGTAGCGTAGGAAGTTTGAGTATTGTTGTGATTGAAACTAAACGGAAACCCACCCTTAAGCTTACAATCAATGGATTAATATTGACTGCTTTATTTGACACTGGAAGCGATGTCTGTACAATGAGGGAAGACGTGTTTAATGAACATTTTCCAAATATTGAATTAACATCCGAATTTGTATTATTGAAAGGATTTGGAGCAAACACAAAAATAAAAACATTGGAATCTTTGACGGTGCAAGTCGGCATTAATAACGAACAATTTGAAGTTAAGTTACATGTTATCCCCAAATTATCTACTTCTTTCAAAGTTATAATTGGAAACAATATATTGAGGCAAGCTACTATACACATCGATGAAGAAGGTATTATGATATACAAGAAGTCAGAGCGTCAACTTGAATCACAACTAATAAGACCAAATTTGCCAACTGTCGACTTGAATACGGCGACTGTAGAAGTAATTGTAAAGGCTGTAAAAGCTGTACAGCCTACAATTCTAGCAGAACCTGTTCAAAGCCAAACTGTTGCTACAGAGTACAATGATGATGACAGTGTGGATGAATTAATTACGGAATTGAAAACGGAGAATGTTGTTACTATTACTACGCTAGTGGCGGCAAATAATTTGGAAAAGGAGTCGGTGTTTTTGAGGCTATTCAATCAGATTGAGGTTCTCGAAAAAAATTTGTCCCTCTCTAGTCGATACCTCGAAGAATTGCACGAATGCTATAAAAAACAAATAGAAGTCATGCAACGCGTCTTGAAAAAAACCCTTCAAGATGTGTTAGTTAAACAGGAAGAGCATCACAGTCAAATCCAAGAAGATATAAAAGAAGAAATAATAAAGATTTTCGAAGAAGAAAGAATACAGATGAGAGAGAAGAGTAAGGAACACATTAGAAAAGTACAGAGTGGAAACAAAAAAGGATACAAATTAAGAAGAAAAAAGGCGAGAAAAAAGAATACAGCGTATAACGGAAAAAACTTGATGACAATTGAAAGAACGCAGTTTGATCCTGGAATTAAATTAAAATGGATAACAGCGACGAATCCGAGTCGGATTCTGAGCAGGATGGCCGAGTGTAGGATTGGTAATTCCATATCACCTTTGTTCACCTAGTTTACCGTTTACCTAATCGATAGTACCTTTGTTAGTTTTAATCAAGTACCAGTGTGTTGATTGGTACCAGTCCAGTTGTTAAAAATTTTTATGTCAGAGTGATTGACGAATAAAGTAATGGCGTTTCCGATTGGTAGATTCAGTGCGCACTGAGTGTATTTGCATCTTTTTAAGCGACCTGTAGAAGAAAAAGACAGAAATAGAAAAAATTGCACTAGTTCCGCACTAGATCTACCAATCGGAAACGGCATAAGTCTGTCATGAATGTGCTAGAACTGTGTTGTTTCATTCACCCCTAGACAACTACAAAACCTTACATTAGTCTTAGGTATACATATATATATTCTTTATTTTTTTCTTAATTTTGCAAAACCTGTTGCAAAATTGGTGGGGGAGTATGTTTAAGATTAAATAGGGTAAAATTATAATTAAGTATAATAGAGAATTCAAGGTAAAGCAAAAATCCGAATTTTTCTAAATTTAAAGCTATTTTAAGTATTTATGCGCGAGAACACTGTTTGCCCCTTCCAGGTCTTCATGAAGAAAAAGGAGAAGACACCAGTGAAACGTACGATAAAAATCATTATCGGTCAACGCGTGAACCAGTTAAAAAGGTACCAAAAAATTACTGATAAAACCGCATTCTTAATTCGCGTTCTGCACAAACCTAAAAGACTCTCAAAACTTCTTAGCGATTTTATAAACCGTAATAGAGCAAGTAAATAGTGACAGGGTACCCTGGGAAGCCTAAGTTGGAGCTGTGCTTATTTTGGAAACAAGGTAGGCAAACAGTTCCGATTTTTTTATTCTAACTTTGCAATACATAAAATCCGTGAACCCAGCTTCAAATTGTTTTTTTATTTTTAACACCCGGTATATTATAAATTATAAAGCAAAATAGGCTCGATGCTAGACATAAAAAACAAGGAATAGAACAAAAGTTGAAGTTGAAAAACGACATTACATCATACCTATTAATAAGCAAGGTCCTTTCTCTAGCATAAATAAACAAAAATAATAATAAGTACCTATCCAGGTGAGGTAGGTACTCGACCAAAGTTACAAAGTTACAATATTTTTTTTTACTCAATGAAATCTCTTATCTTTCAAGTGTTTTTCTAATTGAATAAAAGCAGAATACACCAAAGAAATATTTCAAAAGTACCAACTCCATAATGTCCAAATTATTGCTCTTTGTAGTACTCCTCGGTACCACCCACAGTTCTCCCCTGGAAGCGGACCCATGTACAGTTTCCACCTACTCAGCAATAGCTGCCGCTGCCAAGAGCTGTAACACTCTGACTTTAAAGGACATAGTCATTCCAGCTAAAACTACTTTATTTATCGAGTTGAAAGATGGGGCTAAGCTAATTTTCGATGGACATGTGACTCACAAAATAGCAGAATGGACTGGGGACCTTATTAGAATAACTGGAAAGAATGTGCAAATATCTGGAACAGCAAGTAAGTTTCGACTTTTTTCTGAAAATATATTATATTTGTGATTTTCATCCAAATTGGAAAGAATATACCTAAGCTGTTTGATTGACTTAGATTATAAATGCACGTTTAATTAAAGTTATCAGTTGAGTTTTATTTTATTCCTTCAAACATCTAAAATTTTCTTTTGAACACTTCTTAAAGGATATACTTGTGCAAATTTGGAAAGTGGATAGATAATAGGCAAATAAATTTCATTTCATATTTTAAAAGTGTCTAAGTGAAGATGTTCGAAGGAATAAAGGTCTGGGCACACATGACCGCACCGAGTCCGCACCGAGCCCGCACCGAGACACGGCCGTGTCTCGGTGAATAGTTGTACCGTGTTTTCTTATGTCGTAGTCTTCACATCTACGCACCGTGCCCGCGCCGAGCCCGAGTGACACCACCGCACCGCGTCCGTACCGTGCGAGATTAGTTTTGTTTAATTTTTGACGGGCACGGTGCGTTGCAGAAATGGAGAAACTGATAGAAGAAGTCAAAAAGTATCCTGTATTGTACGACCAAAGAAATGAAAAATATAGGAATGCTGAATATAAGGAAAGGGTATGGACTTTAATTGCTACGCATTTAGAAATAAAGGGTAAGTCAAAATACATATGTTTTATTTTCAATTAAGAATCCTGTTAAAATAGGTTGAAATTGATTATACCTACTATACAGGGTGAATCTGAAAGTGAGGTTTTATTTTCAAAAGGATATATATCTCCACCAAAATAAGACTCCATATAAAATATTTTGTTTACATTTCCTCACAAATAAAAACCGGGTACAATTTTTATCGTATTTTATCTGATAAATATTATGTAATACTAATTTTTCAAACTGCCAAGGCCATTTCCTCTTGCCAGTCTACACTGCCTTCTGGAGAATTTAAAAAAGTTGTCAGCTGTTCTCGGACAGTAAATGCGGCATGCACTCGTAGTACGACCGTCATGCGGGCCGTGTGTTGGAAATGTGTGGCTTTTACCTTATTGAGCGACACACTGCCGTGTTACTGCACGGACTCGGTGCGGGCTCGGTGCGGATACGGTGCGGTCATGTGTGTCCAGACCTTAAGAGCTCGTTACCGTTAGAATCAATTAAATTACTAGGAAATTTCTATCACTGGTATTCGTTTTTTGGCGTGTTATAGACTTGGTTATCTGAAAGTAAATGAAATTGTTAAAATTTATTGTATTTTTTTAGTTTTCATTCAAATAAAAATTACAAAATTCGATTGATGTTAAACAAAATAATTTTCTATATCAATGACCATTTTTGGCCAATAGAATTTTATGGAAAGGGCCATTGTGATTTAGTAGATGTCTCTGTGGCATGTTGTTATAATCTCGCCGCTACTTCCATTGTTATAAGCTCGCCGCTACTACCATTGTTATAATCTCGCCGCTGCCACCAATGTTATAATCTCGGATTGTGAAGGGACTTGTACTTATTTTCCGTTATTTTTATAAAGTAGAAAATAGAACTAACAGCTGGGCAAAGCCCTCAGTAAAAGGGCTTGAAGCACTAAGCCCTAAGCCCTCTATCAAAGTGATTTCAATTTCAAGCACAAATTCCTTTTCATTTTCAGAAGTGCTTCACAAGCACAAAGCCCTCAAAGTGCTTTGGGCTTGGCAAGCACAAAGCCCTCAAAGTAATTTGAAAAGTGCTCGAAGCACATCAAAAGTGCTTGGGGAGCCTTAAAAAGTGCTTTGAAGCCCTTTAAATGTGCTTGAAGTTCTTTAAATGTGCTTGAAGCTCTTTAAATGTGCTGGAAGCTCTTTAAATGTGCTTGAAGCTCTTTAAATATGCCTAAAGCACTTTGAATTTGTAATAAAATTCTCAAAGTGGCATAAGCTACCGCGTACACTCATCAGTTTGAATTCGAAGTTGAATTGGTATAGTAGAGATGAACTTTACATTTCACAGAGTAGCAGTGATATGTTTTTTTTGAGATGTAGTTCTGGAATACTTGGGGCAGTTGGGATACTACATAGTAATTCAATTTTAAGGTATTCAAAATGTTCAATGAGGAAAAGTGAAAAAAATCCAGTGATAAATTTAAATAGGGTACCTACCAATATAAATTAATTATTTATTTAAATAATAAGTTCATTCAATTTTTTTTTAAATTAAATTCTAAGCTCAAACCCAAAACCTCCATTGTTAAGAGTGAAAAGACATAGGTAAGACGGTTCAAGTTCAAATAATAGCAAAAAAAATTAAGCGACAAAACACGATCGAAAATTTTTAGGTGGGGAATAGGTTGAATGATGGTCAATTCAAATTCCTTTTAAAGTGCTTCAAGCCCTTTTAAAGTGCTTCAAGCCCTTTTAAAGTGCTTCAAGCCCTTTTAAAGTGCTTCAAGCCCTTTTAAAGTGCTTCAAGCCCTTTTAAAGTGCTTCAAGCCCTCTAAAAGTAATTGAAGCTCATGAAAAGGGCTTCAATTACTTTTTTCAATTGCAAATTACCAAGCACTTTTCTAAAGTAATTGACTTTGCAAGCCCCAATTACAAATCTATAAAAGAGCTTGAAGCACAGGGCTTTCAAGTCCTCAAAGTGCTTCAAGCACTTTCACAAGCACAAAGGACTCAAGCCCTGCCCAGCTCTGATAGAACTCATAATTATTTGAATGTTTAGTTTAATTTATTAGAACTCAACTCAACGCTTTCAAAGTTACAAACCGACTGTTTGCTTTTAATGTTACAAAGCGACTTCTTAACTTTTATTCTAAAACCTAAAAGTAGTACCTAACCTATAAAAGTAATTCTCAACATCTGTATAATAAAATAAGGTCTGAGAAAGTACTCTTGTCTTTGGCGGCAAGAATACCCTTCATGAGTTATATTTATTTAATTCACAATATTTATGTAATTGGGGTTCCTGAGGTAATTGAACTTCCGACAAAAGGAAACATTTTTCCGGGTAATTGGTGTGAACAGGACATTGGTTGTATAATTATTCTAGCCGGCATCGTCTTTAAAACCTGATGAATACAGTGTTTATCCAAAAAAAAAAAATTCTATTTCGTTATACCGTATAGCAGCGTTCTACCACAACTGCCATTTTGTTAAAACCATTCCCATTCAGCGAGCCCACCAGCTAAACTGTTGCAAAATGAGATTCTCACTATGTCCATGTGAACAAACTGTCAAAATTTAAAAACTTTACTATTTTTTTCTCGCAAAAAGTACCCATTGCCTGAACTTATAAAGGTTTGAATCGAAAAAATTTGGTTGATCCATAGATCTATTTGTTTGATTTTCATTTTCTATTGGTGGTGCGGTATCAATTTTTTTTTTTTTGATTTGTTAAATTTTGACAATATTTAGTTTTGTTGAAATTTCACATTCATAAATACTGCTAACTGGTAAAGTTTCAACAATTTTTTCAGCAACCCGGATATTACGGAACTCCATAGAACCGTATCTAGTGACTTAATCACCATCAAATCATGGTGTGACTCAAATCTCCTGTGCCTCAACCTCTCTAAAACCAAAGTTTTATCTTACAGAGCTTCGCTCCAATCTGTAGTACTGGATAACAATACCATGGAGGCCGTTGATTCCGTGAAATTCCTGGGGCTTGTTGTTGATAAATCTCTAAAGTGAGACCTGCATATCGACGCCTTAGCAAAGAAATTAAGTTCGGCATATTTTGCACTGAGATCTGTTTCCAGGGAGCTTAACTCGGCAACTTGCAGGATGGTATATTATGCTCTTTTTGAGACGCATTTACGTTACGCCCTTCCATTCTGGGGCACGTGTTGTGCGTCTCAATTTGAACGCATTTTTAGACTGCAGAAGAGAGCTCTTCGTTATTCTTTGGGACTTGGTAGTAGAACTCACTGCCGGGAATTTTTTATCAAGTCTAGTATATTGACTCTTCCATCTTTATTTATTTTCGAATCCGTCTGCTTAATTCGTAAGCACTTAATATCAGCTATCTCAGAGAGGCCATCTCACAATTATCCACTGAGGAACGCAGAATTGGATCTTTATCTGCCAATCCCGCGCTCAGAGTTAGTTAAAAGTTCAATACTTTATAATGCTAAAAAGATGCATAATCATCTACCGCCTAACATCAGGTCCATTGCATCTTTTCTCGAATTTCGCAGGGCGTTGAAGGTGTATTTACTGAGGAGAGCCTTGTACACAGTAAGCGCGTTGTTTATGGTTTCCTAATTCTAAATTTTGAGCAGCTTACTCACAGGTTTTGTTTTTGTTCCTGTATCATGATAGGTTATTATAAGTTATTGTTTGTTTGTTTTTTTAGTGCCTATAATATGCTTACTCGCACAGTATAAGCAGTTAGACCTAGATGTTTGTTTATTAGTTTAAATCAAATTTTGACCATGAACTATTTGTTCAAGTGTTTGGTTTTGTCTGTGCTTTTGCATTTGTATGTTTTGTTTTTTATTTTTTCAGCTTTGTCCACAAAATTGTAAAATTTTCTGACAATAAAGCAAATTCTTTCTTTCTTTCTTTCTTTCTCTCTTCTGAGGTTGCAGGAAAGGAAACGTTGAAAAAGTTGGACAGCTTTTCTTTAGTCGAAGGGTATTTCTAGTTGATGACCCGATGACCAATAAATTAATCTTCCATTTTTAGATTATCTAATATTAACATTCAATCTCATTGAGTCATAAAAGCCTAAAATACCATAAAAACTCATGAATTCATGAAAATCAGAAAAAAAATCAATATTGAAGTGTACTGCCGGTGTCGATTATCAATTATTAATAATTATCACGTTGGAGATTTTGATTTGAATAAGTGCAAATTAATTATTTGAAGCTATTGTCTCGGCTCTGGGGTGCGTGACACAAATCTTGGGTCTGTTTATTCCAGAATCAAAGTCCAATTAACACAACAATAATTTATTCGACGTTACCTACTTCTTCTATACACTCTGACACTAATTACTTCACTAATTATCTTAAACAACTAAAATCTTCACAATTCTTAACAATAATCACTATCTAA